TGTGTTCATCCAGCTCAGAAACTTGTGGTCTCGGATTCTCCAGCATCCGCAGTTCCTACTATCTCTTGCACAAATATCAGATTGATTTGTTAAGGACTGCGAGTGATACACAATACCAGCCAATCTTTTTGGAATTGGACTGAATGCAGTGAAAATTTAAACATAACCAAAAGATAACTATATCAAATCTAAACATCATTCTTTTCAATGTGAAATATTTCTATTTATATAATACTTTCCATTCAGAGTTCATTGTGTGTGTGACAGACTTGCGAAATGCAGTAATGGATGCTTTATTTCCACAGAGTGAGGGGTGAAAATTGGTCACTAGAATAACTGTTCAAATACAGCCTTGGGATCTTTAACATCCACTTTGATTGGTTAACAGGTCTAAAATTAGCAGCTCAACTGAAGGACAACACCTTCAAACTTGGGAGTCTGCCTGGATCTTGAGTTGAAACCCTTCACTTGTTGACTGTAAAGCACGAATACGACCAGCCTCACCATGCCTGAGCAGTGCCACACGACAGTTTAAATCAGGGACAAGAGGTAGGAGAAGAAAACGCTCATACCTTATTAATTTCTAAGACTGGCAAAGTGTCTGCATCAGCCCTGGCAAGATCAAGCTTGTTTTCGGGGACAAGGAGCTCCTTTATTTCAGCGTAAGCATCAACAGGGACAATATCCTATTTGAAAAAAACAGATTAACAAAACAACTTGGTAACAATACGAATTATTGGTTAAACATAAGAAACTGTGAACTAACACATAGCAATGAATAGTTAGAAGCGTTCTGTACAGGAGATGAGAAGAATTAAAAAGCTTGGTACTGTACTGCCATCTTGTGTTCATAATTAATAAAAGCGACATGGTCAAAAGGAAATCAAAGAATTGCAGAGTTAATTAAACCATTTTATTACAAATAAAGGATTAAAGGAGCTTCTTTCATCTGTGTAATAGATGATAACTCACAAAACGTCTGTGCAAGGAGGTGCTTAATCTACAATTAAGGTGGCTACACAGAAATGATTACTCTAAAAGCCATAGCCAAATTCATGGTCAACCCCAACGGATGTAAGAAAATCATAAACACACAGACCTCCATGAAGAGCTTTATTTAAAACATCTGTTTCAAGTATCATTTAAAAAATAATGCTCATTTTGGGGGTCTGGATGAAGAGCCACAAGCTAACGTCACTTTGTTATCCTGTAGGTGTAGACACAGGAGTTCTTCCTTTCTAGCGTTGCTAGCTAACAAAATAAATATCTTCATAAGTGATGATAGCCAGATATAGTCAAGACCATAATGATTTCACTGCCTTGCTAAAAAAAAACACTTTATAAATCATACTTGAGCAGGCTTGAGTATTTGCTTCTAAGTTTCCATCTTCCTTTTCCTGGACTCTGTGCCGATTGCAGAAGTAGTCACAGAAATACTTCTCTGAAAGTGGTCAGAAAATTCCGTATTGTCAAGGCTGAAAGATTCTGCTTGTTTCTACCATGGGTCAGTTATTCATGAGAATTCAGAATGGCCAAGGATGATCTAGTGGAGATGTTGATAGAAAATACAGAGAAATGATTTCCCAAGGTTGCAGGAGTGGGAGAGGATGCTTGGGAAAGAGAAGACAGAGGATCCAGAACAATGGGCATAAATTTTACAATTGAGAGACAAATTGCTCACGAGCGAAACCAACGAGTGTGTTTTTCCACATGAAGGATACATGAAATCTGGTGCGCTCTTCCTCTGCTTCCCCCCCGCCCCCCACAAAATGAAACTGACGCTGGGTCAAATGGAATTTTCATAAAAAAAATTAGATTTTCATTCAGTATAGATATTAAGCAATGTTTCCTAAAGGTGTCTCAGAAATCGAGAAGATTGCAGCACACGATACTCGTGTGTAATTTTACACAGAAAATAGGAACACGAATATGCAATTCAGCCCTCGAGCCTGCTCCCATTTTTACCCCATACTTTTGATTCCCTTAGCCTCAAGAACTACATGTAATTCCTTACTGAAATCAAAGTTTTTGGTACCACCTCCTTTCTGTGGCAGAGAATTCCACAGACTAGCCACCGTCTGGGTGAGGAAATTTCTCATCTCAGTCCTAAATGGCCTACCCTTATCCTTAGATTGTGACCACTGGTCTGGGCTCCTTGGTCATCAAGAACATTCTTCCTGCATTCATCCCATTTAGACCTGTTAGGATTTTACAGGTTTCTATGAGATCTTCCCTCGCTCCTCCTTCTAAACCCCAGTGGATACAATCCTCACTGATCCAGTCTCTCTTCACACATCAGTCATGCTATCCCACAAATCAGTCTGGTAAACCCTTCTGACATTCTCTAAGATAACACACTTCTATGGTCACTGAAAAATTGAAACAGTACTTCTACTGAACTAAGTATACAGAAAATGAAAACAATTAGGGCAGGCATGTGGGTATCAAGTGATATGGATCAAAGTTAACGGAGTAAGGTACAGAACAGTAATGATCAAATTAGAATTGCTGAACTCGATGTACGGGTTGAATGGGATATACCTGATTTTGTATGCCCAATGTCCTGTTCCAAAAAAAATGCTGCTGCCACAGGAATGATGCCATTCAGCTGTTTCTACAGCATAACCAGTCTTTCCTTCTACCTAGCAAGAAAACGATCTGCATTTATGTATTACCGTACACTTCCTAGGGGCTTTCCAAAGCAGCTTTATAGCTGCTCAGTACTTTTCTTTTTCAAGTGTAACAACTGTTGTAGTGTAGGAAAACGACAATTTATCTGCAACATTTCTCAGTAGCCCTATGGAGTGTTACCCTAGGTTATACACTCAAATCCATGGATTGGCACTTGAACGCCTTGGGACAAGATTGTGAAAGGCGCATTCTGCCAGGATATATAGACTTTTTAAAAACTAACAGTTCAAAAAAGTGGCCCATCATCATAATTTTGGGCAGCTTAGTATGGACAAAAGTCAGTTTTGCCAGTGACTTGAAATCCCAAGAACGAATCTTTCAAAAATGGTTTACATGGATTTCCCTTTCTCCAGAAAGAGTTGTTTCCTGTGAGTTTGTACCAGCAGGTGCTTAATCTTGTACAAAGTAGAGATCTTGTTAGTCTACATTCTTTTGTAGGTACGCTATTCTGCTCACCATTTGCAAAGGTGCACACAAAAGACATAGGTCACTGAAATTACCTTGGGTGAAAGAGGCAGCAATTGACAAGTGAGAAAGACATAACCTTTCACCTGACCAGAAAAGATCTTCAACATTAACTCTGTTTCTCCCTCCACAGTTGCCGCCTGATCAGCTGAGGATTTATAGTACATTTCGCTTCTGCCTTACACCTGGTTTGGTAGGTGCAGTCAGGATTCCATGTTTTAATGACTTATTCTGGAGTGACCATGGCCTGTGTTAAACCTTGACGTCAGGACCCACTAGTCCTGGTACCTAATGAATCCAATATTAAAAGGCAGTGCAACTCAAAACACAGTTGAATCCTTACCCTTTCTTGAAGCAGTTCAATCACTTGCTGGACACATTCATTCACAGAACAGACATCAGTCTTCAATACTAGTTCAGGAGCTTCTGGCTTCTCATACTCAGAGTCAATACCAGTGAATCCTGTAAGACAATAAAGACATTGTGTTCCTTAGTAATTAACTGTATAATTTCATAACGAAAGACTTTTGTTACTTTCTAATAATGCATTTTTAAACAAAAACGATTAGTGTGAGATGGGATAGGCGATTCTAGAATAACCAGTAGTAGCTATAAGTGGAACACACAATCTTTCTATTCGGGAGTAAGAAAAGAGAAGTGGAACAGAAGGAAATTATATCAGTCAACATTCCCACTGCTGACTATTTTCCAATCAGCCTGCACATACAAATGCAGATATTTTGCAGTTCGATCAGCTGATACAAGGTGGTTACAGAGGGCAGCTGGGCAAGACGCCAACAGATCTCTACTCCAACAAGATCCGACACTGATTTATTTGATTTGGTTTATTGTGGTCACATGTACCTAAGAACATGTAAAATGTTTTGTTTGGGAGAGGAGGCAGATCATAGCAAACAAGGAATTACAGATCATAGGGTGCTTAGACAGAGCAAGGCATACAAGGTTACGGCTGCACAGGAGGTGCACAAAGCAAGATCAACATTATTTGAAGTTAGGGAGGTCCATTCAGCAGTCTAGTAACAGCAGGGAAGAAGCTGTTCTTGAACCATCTAAGAAACAGAAGTGATGACTTCAGATTCTGGAGCACCAAACATACAGGTAATATAGGTTTTACTGGTTAAGTCAATAAATGTGACAGTGAATTTCATCACACTTTCTGCTATCCTTTCCCATTTCCACCTTTACTTGTAACAATTGTTAACTAGTTAAATCTTACACCCATTTTAAATGAAAATAATCACTATGCACCGGAGATCTTGACTGAAATTTGAAAAAACAATTCTCCCACAAATTAATGTTTTTTTTTACATCAGTAAAGCCAAATTACTTTTAAAATTGAAGATACAATGACACAAAAGCATTAAAAGACCAAACAAGCAAATTATTTACCAATTGAATTTCCATAACTGAAATCATTCGGTATTAATCTTTTAGTCCCTGATCTGGCACAATTCACCACTCCACAGCAGAGGCAAAAGAAATCAGGACACATCCTTTAGAGGGAACTTTAGCATAAGGGCTATTAACTAGCTAAAGCAGGGTTTAGCAGTCAGTAATAAGGCTGTTTGGTGTCAGGGAATGTAACATGAGGAAGGGAAAGAAAGTGCATACATTAAAGAATAATGATCTACCCTTTTACAGAAATTCAATGTACACTATACTTTTCATTACATAGTCTACTGCCATTGTATACAGTGAACAAGAAGCTTACATCTATATCTGTAGCTTAACTAAAGGAACTTAAGTCATATTATCCAGTCTGTGTGCATTACCTGTGGCATAATAATTAAGCTGTCTACCTGAGAATCTCAAAGTTCCAGTTTTATCTCCCACTCCAGTGTTTGAGCACAAGGCTGACAATCCAGTGCAGTAAAAAAGGAGATGCTATCTTTCAGGTGAGATATTAAGTTAAGACCTATTGGGGTGGATGCGAAAGATCTCATTGAATTATTTTGTAGAACAACAGGGCAGTTGTTCCCAGCTTCCTGGTCAATATTTTAATCCTCACGTCGACAATAAAACATTACATTATCTGTTCACTGGTGACCATGGACATTAGCTGGAATAGTTAAACTGTAAAAGTACTTAATTGGCTGTAAAGCACTTAGAGACATCTTGTGATTGTGAAAAGCATTATATCATAGAATCCCTACAGTGTGGAAGCAGGCCATTCAGCCCATCAAGTCCACACTGACCCTCTGAAGAGCATCCCACCCAGACCTACCCCATCCCTGTAACTCTGTATTTCCCATGGCTAATCCACCTAGCCTGTAGATCCCTGGACACTACGGGCAATTTAGAATGGCCAATCCACTTAACCTGTACATCTTTGGACTGTGGGCGGAAATCATGGCATCCAGACACAGAGAGAATGGGCAAACTCCACACAGACAGACAGTCGCCCAAGGGTCGAATTGAACTTGGGGCTCTGGTGCTGTGCAGCAGCAGTGCTAACCACTGAACCATCATGCCACCCATTTCTAAATGGAGATTTTTTTTTCCTTTGCAATTTAAAGGTTTGGCAAAAGTATTATGCAAAGCTGAAGACTACTGGGCCCATCATTTATATATGATGACACAAGTAAATGGCCTACAAATGATTTAGCAAGGTGAATGAAACAACAGCAATTTGACGTTTTATATTAAGAAGCACATGACAGTTTAAGATTTTCAGATTGCCACCAAGATCTGCAGAAGTCTAATTTTCCCACCAATAAGCTCCCATAACTACTTAATCTACCACAGACTTCCAGCAGTGAGCAGTCACACAAACCCTTGTTAGGAACAAGAACGTCAAGACTCTGGATGTGGTCGGAAACGGATTGTGAAGCAGTTCTTTTACGATGGATCTCAAACTTAGCAAATGCTCTGATTATGTAATATACTCCAGAGGAGGAGGGAGAGGAAAAAAGAAATTAGCATTTAAAATGGTGACTCATCATTTCCTCAATACTTTTTGAAGTGCTGTTGTTATTCCATGCACAATTACAGCAGTCAATTTACACACAGGTAATTGATGTGAACGCCCAGCTACTTAGCTGGTGTTAAGTTTCTTATCAACATATCTGAATTTCTTACTGATATTTTAATTTATACGAAAACTTTTAGTGACTGTCACAAGCCACTTGATTATGAATGAATCTTGAACGTTTTAAAAATACACTTTAAATCTTAACTGTAGAGAAAGTTAACAGGAGATTTAATAGGTGTGTTTAAAATTATGATGAGTCATAGAAGATCAGCCAGGGAGAACTGCTTCCAATGACAAGCAGGTCAATAACAGATGACAAGAGACTTACGATAACGGGTAAAGTAACTTGGCAAAAGAAACAGAATATTCGCTAGACTAAACAGGGTAAAAGTAGGATGCTCCCAATGACCAGACCTAGGGCTCTCAGTCTATGGTTACAGGTTTAGGCCATTTAGGACTGAGATGAGGAGAAATTTCTCTACCCAGAAAACCTGGTGAGCCTGTAGAATTCTGTCACAGAAAGCAGTTGAGGTTAAAGCACTGAATGTTTTTAAAAAGGAATTAGCTATAGTTCTTAGGGCTAAAAGGATCACAGGGTATAGGGAGAAAGCAAGAACAGTTGGATGATCAGCCATAATCACATTGGATAATGGAGCAGGCTTGAGAGTTCAAATAGCCCACTCTGCCTATTTTCTATGTAAAAGTAACAAATTGCAGTGTTATGGGGAAAAGGGAGAGTGGATAGCTCTTTCAAGGAGCTAACACATGTACAGAGGCCATATGGCCTTTAGTGCTGACTAGGGAATAGCCAGTATTGTTGAAAGAAATAAACTAACAGTGACAAGAACTCTTTTGAGCTGCACATGTTTGTTACATGGCCCCCACGTGTCCCCTGCCCTCAGATGCCCCTTGTATTCTCTCATACCTACCTTTTATCTCACCAGCTCTAGCCTTTTTGTACAGTCCCTTCACATCTCTTTTCTCGCAAACATGCAGAGGGGCATCAACAAATATTTCAAAAAACGGCAGGCCAGCATCTTCATGAATACTCCTGCCATTCTGTCGATCCTACCAACAGTGAAATTTTACAATTAAAAGATAAGAAATATCAGCAATGTTCACCTGACTACGAGCTATCTTGACACAGTTTCAATGTTTTGCAATACATCGGCAGAGAGAGGGTAGTAAAGTAAATTGTTATAACACTACTTCAGAATTTGTTATTTTATCAATTACACATTCTCTCAGTCTCGGCTTCCGATTTCATGTCTTCTATTCATGATTGGCATTTTGGTAGAGCTGCCAAGGCTCTGGACAGGAGCCAATCACTGATTTATGTGCAAAGGAGCCTAGTGTCTCCCTGATACTCTAACGGAGATTATAGAACTCAGCTCCCACATGATGATTTACACAAACTGCATTCATGCACTCTATGTAGTGCACTGGAGGCTGGAAACTCATGCCAATTCACACTCCCTAGCAAGTTTTTAAAAGCAAAAAAACACATTCTGAATATACTCAAAAATACAAAGCATGAGTACTTGAATACACTTGAGTAGAAAGAAAATATGCTTTATATTTTGTTAAAGCCTCTAAAAGAGCCATAAAATAAGACAAGCAGGATACGCAGGAAATCTGCGTAAAACTTGATTCTGTCTGCTTAAAACTAAGTTGCATTGCGATGACAAAATAATTTCAGACAATCAAGTACCATTGTGTAAGTTAAATGGTCACTGTATCAAATTGTGAAAAAGTTGCACTTCTACAGCCATGAGCAAATTTTAATTCAACAGTACTTTCAGCATCTGATGCTTACATATGTATTTTAAGCTCTGTACAAATGCCTTAACTGGGGTTTACCGGTATCCTAAATAATGCTTGTGAAGTAATGTCTTAGGGGACACCTAGGCATCAAGAAGCACATACATGAGTTAAATTCTAAATGTAATACAATAAACTACTCTAACACAATACTTTTCAAGTATAGTTTTAAAAACTTGCAAAGTGTCCACAGTCAAATGATGAATAAGTCTTTTCTTAAAAATTGTACATCCTGAACAGCAAATGTACCAAGGCCTGAGAAATTCTCTTGTCCACACCATTTACTGACTGGAGGTTACAATAATGTTGTTCATGGTGGTTGTTTACAAACAGGGTTTGCATAATAAACATTAAAATCAGCACTTGCAATATTAAATATTGATAAATGACAAGTGTACACCTTCACAAGAATTTGAATATAGAGTAAAACTTTGGAAGTGAGTGTTGACAACAATGTGAGTGACGACTGTTACATTGTGAAGAAATGTTGAATGCCCCAATTGTACTTGCATATATATGTACTGGGGAGGTGATGGCCTAGTGGTATTATCACTGAACTGTTTTCAGAGACCCAGATAATATTCTGAGGGCCAGGGTTCGAATCCCACCACGGCAGATGGTGTAATTTGAATTCAATAAATATCTGTAATTTAGAATCTTATGTCGACCGTGAATCCATTGCCAATTGTTGGAAAAACCCATCTGCCTCATTAATGTCCTTTAGGAAAAGAAACTGCCATCCTTAGCTGGTCTGACCTACATGTGACTCCAGACCCACAGCAATGTGGTTGACTGTTAACTGTCCTCTGGGCAAATAGGGATGGGCAATTAATGCTGCCTAGCCAATGACATTCTCATCCCGTGAATGAATAAAGGATATTGCTCATAATACAAGAAAATAGCCCAAATACTTCATGTACAGAGAGAACAGTTAAGTACCTTTGTGTAGGGAGAAATAAAACTGGCAAGACACACAAGTCCAGCATCTGCAAACAGCTTGGCTACTTCTGCAATACGTCGAATGTTCTCCTCGCGGTCCCCTGGGCTAAAACCCAAGTTTTTGTTGAGACCATGCCGAATGTTGTCTCCGTCCAATGTGTAGCAGGGTATGCCATGGCAAACCAAGTATTCCTCCAATGCCATACTAACCGTAGTCTTACCAGCTCCAGACAGGCCTGTTAAATGTCACCACAAAATCATAATAAGCAAAGCAAATATAAATGGAAATATTTTCAGCAAACATTGATGAACCTTCAGGAGGAAAAGTAAACAGAAGTCCATTCTACACACCTAAGTACTTATGAAATATCCCATGACACTATTTAAAATGAAGGTGACTTGTATCCTAACCAATCCTCAAACAATAAAATCTTTACTGAGAAAATAGTTTAAATTTCCATCATCAGACATCCATCACCATCAATGAACCACACAGACTATGCTACCCAAACTTTTCCCACTGCAAACCCCATTGCGACTTGAAAAATGTCACAACCCCTCAGCAGGAATCGAGAGAATAAGGGCTGGTTACAGCAGGAATGCTGATATCGTAACTTATTCTGAACTCACATTCCCACTTGAGGAATCCCTTCCATAGAAATGGACCGTACTGGGTTATATGCTTCCATCACTAAATAAAGATCATCAAAAGAATAAAAACATAATTCTATATTCTTTGCTTCATCACAAACTTGTCGTCTTAAACCAACCTCCCCAACAGTAAGTACAAAGATCCTATGGCCTTTTCTGTCACAAAGATTGCAACTTTCCATACATTTGCTTCCAAAACTTTCCCAGAGCAAAAATTACTTCCCCAGTGCCTTAGCCCAAAACTCTCACCTTTCTTGGGGTTCCACCCTACCTCCTTCAGTGATTCTCTCCAACCTCATCTTTTCTACCTCTGGCACCCTTGAGTCTATTCTGACCAACTCTTCAATGTCCTATCCTCGACCCCATGTTAACCAATATTGCTAACTTCTCAGATGCCATCCCTTACTTCCGTCATCAAAAGTCTCCTCAATAAACCTATCATTGACCCTACCATCAGTAAAATAGAATCCCTACAGTGTGGAAGCAGGCAATCTGGCCCATCAAGTCCGCACTGACAATACGAAAAGCATCCCACCCAGACCCACCCTCTTCCTGTAACCTTGCATTTCCCACGGCCAATCCACCTAAGCATGCACATCCCTGGACACGATGGGCAATTTAACATGGCCAATCCAGCTAATCTGTGCATCTTTAAATCGTGGGAGGAAACCAAAACATCTGGAAGAAACCCACACAGACATGGGGAGAATGGGCAACCGTATGTGTGGGGTTTGCAGAAAGGTGTAATTGAACCTGGATTCCTAGTTCTGCAAGGCAGCAGTGCTAACCACTGAGTCACTGTGCCGCCCCTTGCAAACAACTTAATTTCTAATCTCACTTGCTTCTCTTAGAACCTTGAATATGTTGCTGCTTCCCACCCAATTTCCTCCAATCAGGTCTCCTGTCCAGCCACAATACTGAAACAGCCTTTGTCAACTGTGACCACGAACACAGTAAACTCTCCCTCCTCATGCACCTCAAACGGTCTGCAGACTTTTACAAAGTTGACCACACCACAGTAGTCAGTACCAATCTAGCTGGGTGGTATCAACCATTTTTATCTAATTGTGGCCAGATAATCACTGTAATAGCTTCTCTTCTCGCTCATGGTGTTAGGTCTGGAATCCACCAAGCAGCTACATTCCTAGTTCTTATTTACATCCTGCTACCTTGTGAAATCAAAAGGAAAACACAGCAGCAGGGAGTGAACACATGCAAGGCCTCCCAAATGGTGGGCCGCAACCCCCAGCGGGACTGTCAGCCAAAGTTTTCGGTTCACAGGGTCTGATGCAGCAGCAGCTGCATGGAACTTTAGCTAAGAGCTAACATCGTGAGTCCCTTCTAAATCTTGCAATTATTTTTACACTGATGTGGCTGAACTGCTTGATCTTCCACTCTTGAATTCTACCTTAAAAATCCGAAAAGGAAGCTCTGTTTTTAACTCAAAAAAAATCCACTCTTCCCCTTTGGCAATACTGAGATTTGTGATGTATATTCACCCTAGGATGCTAGGAGTCAAAACTGCAGGGAAGATGAGCGTAAACAAGTGGAAAATAAAACATTTCTTACATCTTCACTGTGTTTGTCCACACAAAGAATTACTAAGCAAATCAGGAAATAAAAGGGTTTGCTCAATCAGCAAATTGTTCCAATTTCTATTTCAAAGCTACATCACAATGTGCACTAAGCAGGTAGAACAGACATTATATTGTTACTTTTAGAGGAGACAGGGGTGAAGTAATTTTGTCACTAAACAGTAATCCAGAAGCCCAGACTAATGTTCTGGGGCACAGAATCTCATCATGGCATTTGAATTCAATTAAAAAGTTTGGAATTAAAAGCTAGTCTAATGCTGACCACACAACCACTGTCAATTGTTCTAAAAATCCAGCTGGTTCATTCATATTCTTTAAGGAGAAAATCTTGCCTGGTCTAACCTACATGCGATTCTGGACCCACAGCAATGATTCTTAACCGCCCTCTGGTCGATTAGCAATGAACAATGAATGTTGGCCTTGCCAATGACGCACATATCTTGTAAACAAAACAAAATAAAAATCCAGAGAATGTAAGTTCAAATCCTACTTTGACGTAGTGAATTTGAATCCAGTTATTAAAAACTAGAAATAAAAAGCTGATATCACCTGAAGAAGGTTGGAGTTAAGAAAACTTATGTTATTTAGGCAAGAAAAGTGCCGTCTTTAAGTGGTCTGTGCTACTCTAATATCACAGTTATATGCAGTTAACTTTCAACTGCATAAACCAAGAGCTAAGCAGAGTAGTCAGATATGTCAAACTACAGTGGTTCAAGATGACTCGTCATGACCTTCAAAGACACAGACAGAAGCTATAACTGCCACTTTATTGGTGATGCCCACAACATTAGCATGAATACAAAAAACTAATTTAATCAATGCCTGAAACATCATCTATGAGAAATATAAAAAATAAGAAACTGATGGATAATAATAAATCTATTTTGATTCGCACTGTTAAGGCTTCAAAGTGGTTTCAGATGAAAGAAACTGGACAGTAGGTGTCAGTGGTGGGGGTGAACAGATTTGCCAAATTGAATGGACAAATATACAGGCTCAGAGAAGGGACGATAAAAGCAAAGGGAAGGAATTTGTGGAGGAAATTGCAGGGATGGGATAAATGTAAAGCTCCAACATCAAAAGAGGAACTAAGGAAGGAGGGCGATGGACACAAGGTGATAAAGTTGGGGAATAATGAGCTTGGGTCCAGTGAAAGGAGTACAGCTCTCGGCAGAGTTTGAGGAACATAGGACACGAGGTAAAAAAGGCCATGGAAAAAGGGCAAGGATTTGGAAAAAGGGCAAATAATTTTGAAATAAGTGAATGATGGATATGGACCAAAGATATCCCAGCAGGGGAAGAATGTTGAACTAGCAGGACCAAGATCTTGACAGTATGTTATACAAAATCTTGAGAGCTGGAGTGAATGGAGGGTGAAGCACGCAAGGGTGGCAGTGAGGTTAGTGTGGAGGAGAATAGGAATGGATTGTTTTCCATTGCATTGAGTGTGAAGCAAGCTGTAATGGTCAATGTCTTGTTCAAAATATAAAACCCGGCAACATTTAAGGAAAGAATAAGGGAATATTACCTGTAAGCCAGACAGTGCAGCCACGGAAACCACCTCTGGTTCCCACAACCTGCCCACGCTTGTTTCTGCTGACATGGTGCGCCTGGAAGGTTACGTTGGTTGCTCTCTGTTTACCCTGTAAAATACACAGTAAGAACAATGAGAAAGAAATGGCACATGGGGCATCAGCCAAGTTATTTCAATGGACAAACAATATTACACTCGGCTTTTCACTGCTGAATCTGTCCTTCTATAAAGGAGGCATTATTAGAAGAAAATCATGAGAATTTACTATCACGTGGGATAACTCAAGCCAAATCCAACGATGCATTTAAGGAGAGGTTCAATGAGCAACATGAGGAACAAAGGAGCAGAAGGTTAGGATGATACAGTTAAATGAAGTAGAGTGGGAAGAGGCGTAAACACAGGCCAAAGGCCCATTTCTGAGCTGTAATCTACACAACCTGCAGTAGAGACTCAGACATATATCATGCCCAACTGGTGCCTTCAGAATTGCTGATCAAAATTTACAAATTATTTTTATTTTTCAAAGCAGACTTTTGACCAAGACCACAAATCTATTTCTAAATTAAAATGCTAGACTGCAACTGCGATACATCACTGCAGTTAATCAATATGCTTAGAGTGTGGGATGGGGGTACATTTAAGCACAAGCATAACAATTTTAAAATTTGGGGCAATGAAGAACAGGAAGCCAATGTCAACCAGTAAGACCAGGAGTGAGCAGGACTTGGTGCAGGACAACTTTGATTGCGGAGTGCAAAATATGAGCTGGTCAAGAGCATATTATAATTGTCCAATTTGGAGGAGACAGCAAAATGGGCAAGCGCTCATATAAACGTACAAATTAAAGGAACAAGCCATTCAGTCCCTTGAAGCCTGCTACATCATTCAAAAGTAGCTGATCTGATGCTAACATCAAATCTGCATTTCCACTTACCACTGTGTACCTTGCACCCCGTTAATTAATAATCATCTATTTAGCTCCAGCTTAGAAATTTTCAAGGTCTCTACATCTAGCACCTTTTCCAGAAGGAAATTCCAAAGGCTCATAACACAAAACACTTTGCCTCATCTCTCTTAATTGGGAAACCTTTGGTTTTTAAATCGGTGGCCCTGAGTTCTAGATTCTAGGACTCAAGACCCCTCAGGCTCATGGATGTTTCAATCAGATCATCTCTTTCTCTTATAAACTTCAGTGAATACAAGCCTCGCCTGTTCAGCTGTTTCACATAAATCATCCCCTCATTCCAGGCATTTGCCTAGTAAACCGATTTTGAAATGCTGCCACTGTATCAACATCCTTCCTAAAACTAAGGTACCCAATACTGCAGATCAATCTCACCTCTGCCCCTGTACAAGTGAAGTATCATAACCTTCCTACTGTTTCCAAATTCAATTCTCCTTGTCATAAATAACATTCTATCGGATTTCCTAATTACTTGCTTTATCTGTACACTGACTTTTTGCAATGCAAGCATGAGGATATCCAGATGCCCTCGCATCTCAGAGGTCTGCAACCTCGCATCATTTAGATGTGCTTTTTAATCTCACCGCCAAAATAGACGATTTCACACATTATACACATACCTTCAGTTGCTACGTCCAAGTCACTTACATAAATTGTAAACACTTTAGTTCCCACCACCAAGCCCTGCGGCACATCACTTGTTATATTTTTGGAACCTGTAAAAGATCCATTTACACCTATTCGATACAGTATGGAGCCGGAGGAACACAGCAGGTCAGGCAGCATCACAGGAGCAGGAAAGTCGACGTTTCAGGTCAGGATCCTTCATCAGGACTCCATTTATGCCAATTCCCTGCTTCATGTCAGCCAGCCAACTTCTATCATGCCAACATGTAACCCCTACACAATGAATGTTTATTTCCTGTAATGACCTTTGATTTGACACCTTATCAAATCTTAGTACATTCACCAATGCCCCTTTATCCACAGCACGTTACCTTCTCAAAGAACTCAAATTGGTCAAACATGGTCTCACTTCCACAAAACCATATTGACTCTGTCAGATTATTTTGAACTCAGACAGAGGTTATTCTTAATGAATTAACATATTTTGCTACCTTTCAATGTAATGGGAGCATTCCTGAATCTCTCAACTCTCTCGTTTGACACTTTATTTTAAAGACACAAGGGTGAAGTCCATCGGGACCCAGGCATCTCACCCCACAGCTCCAACAATTTACTCAGTATCATTTCTTGTGATTATGATTTTCCTGAGTTCCCCACCTTCCCTCCAATTCTTAATTTACCCCTGCTTCTAGGATATTACATGTATTCTCTACAATTCAAAATACCTTTTGAATTCATCTGCCATTTCTCTATTATCCAGTATTAATTCCCCAGTCTCACTTTCCAATCTTTTCTCCTTTAAATATTTATAGGAACTCTATTTGCTTTTAAACTTTTAGCTAGCTTTATCTTGTACTTTAATCTTTCCTCTAACCTCTGATCAATTTTTGCTCTTTTTGTTATGTCCAACTTCTGATCTGCCACCTGTCTTTGGACAATTATAAACTTTTTTCTTATAAATTTGATACAATCTTTAACATTTCTAGAGTTATGGCACAGAGACAGACTGCCAAATCAAATCAGCCTCCTTATCCTTATATTCGCAACACAGTAAAATTAAAGCATTCAATGACCCTCAAAATTACCCCAATGGTTCCTAACCAGATGTTTTGAATAACTGGTACCTGATATTATGTTTATGGTATAAACAAAAGAATTAATTTTTTCTTTAATACAATAGCTTTGGGTGAGTGAAGTTAAACAAGATAATTCATAGCTATGATTTAAACCCAACCTTCCTTAATTCTAGCCCACTCTCACACAAAGAAACACACTGTTAAAGGACAAATTTAAAGAGAAAAAGATGTAATTGGCCAGTTCACTTAAGCAGTTTCAAAGGTGTGTAGTATCACAGGCTTCTGTAGACAGCATCAATACCAGTAAACTCCAATAGACTCTGGTGTATACTCACTAAATTCCTATAATTGGGATTCTATTCTTTGAACATTCAATATATCGATAATGGGAGGATAATCAGGGAGTAATCAAATCTGTCCCCTGTAGCTTTCACAGCCACACACAATCCTTCTGACAAAATAGACAAACTTTGATTCCTGTGTTTTTTTCCAACATTATCTTTGTTGGACTGGTGGGCACAAGCCTATGTGATGGTCCCTGTTATCTGTCAGATGCTTAATGTATCTCCAGAGCTGAAACATTTACAGTCCTCTGTGAACAAGAATCAATCTGCAATTAACTTCCTAAGGTCCTACAAAACAGATATCAGTTTGTTTGATCTCCCTTTTTTCCAAAACAAACTGATCACAGTCACCTTCAAATCTCAGATCTCAGTTTCAACCGAAATTGAGAAAAAAGAAAAACATTGACTTTTCTGTCACCAGTTAGCCACAGGTAGTTGAAGCAGCATGTAGTCTGATGCGATGCACAAGTAGTGTCAACAGATGTGAAGCAGGCAGTCTTTGTAACAAGGATACAAGGGCAAACAGCTTGTGGCTAAATAAGAGACACAGACTGCAAAAAATCTGATTCACCAAGATTCTTGGCTGGGAGGGACACGCAATATCATTGATGTGAAAACAGAGTTTGAGTAGTGCAGGTGAAGTCTATACCAATGATTTAGATGAACAAATTGGGTGTGATACAATGTTATAAAGCTTGCAGACTACACAAACTTAGATGGGAAAATAAACTTTAGGGAAGAACCACAAAGATTTGCCAAGGAACAGATCCAAATTAAGCAATCAAATTCTCTTCTGCAACCACAATAGTTCCATTGTTTTCCTGTACCAATGAGCATTTGGAACAGGTGGTGACACCCATTCCATCAATATTCACCTACCACTGGCATCGTTGTTGCAGTCACCAACAAACTGAAAGCTCAGCTCAAAGACTCAGAGGTCTCAAGATCCGGGCAGACGATAGCGGGGGGTAACTATAGCTTTTAAACTCCGGCTTAAATACTCTGAGGCCTATACTCCCAGACATTGTCTGCTTGGCCAGCTGCCACTCTTTCACTTTGTAGCAATGCTCTTAATTCCACATACGGACGGCTCCACCCGGTGGTGGCACTGACCTTAAATGCCACCTTAAAAAACCAGGTAAAAAGTGACAGATGGAGTACAAAGCCATTGAAACTAGTTCATTCATGGGAAAGAGTTGATGTTCTTATGTAGAAAACTAGTGAGAAGTCACATTGCTTGTGAGGGCAAACCCAACTGAATTCACCTTGCAGGGGGAGCGTTGGCTACTGTCAGGACTTCACAAGGGATAGTTGCTGAACTCTTGGACTCGGGTGAGTGAGGGTTGCAGTGACCACCGACTTCCTAAAGCAGGGTCTCACATTCAGATATCAAATGTTCACCTCTCCAGAAAACCACAAGCAAAGATACAAGGTTTTACATGAGGCTTAATTTGATACAAGAAACTGATGCTACCTGGACCTAATCCCTGAGCCACTCAAAATTCCACTGGATTTAGGGATAACTGTCAATTGGTTCAAACTGAACCTAATATACATTCCTCCATGGACAGGAAAATTTTCCACATTGGAGGTAGGAATGGGCCAATGTGATTGCAGGAAGATTTCCTACCACTGGAGATTGAGGCAGTTTCCGCCAAGATTAAGTGGGCCCTGCTGCTATGTTTCCCTCCATGATTAACTTCCACCATTTTACTGAATGATGGAATGGGTTTGATGGCCTACTCCTGTCTTCATTTCTAATATTCAGTTTGACCAGTGTCCAACTGGAGGAAATTGCAGTCCAAAGACCAGATATCAGTGATTCTGAGCTACTGAACAAAAACATTGGGCATATCTACACAAGTACTGCACCAGTTCACCACAACCTTCTCAAAAGATATTAGAGACAGCCAATAAACACAGGCCTTGGCATCAACACTATGAGCCACAAATAAAAACAAAAATCAAGCAAAGCCATATTCTTTTTGTCAGAGGTGAGGCACAATGGGACTCAGTAAATACTGAAAATCTGAGAAAAGCAGTAAACACAAGAAATACAAATGCACTTCTAAAATCAATTTTGGTTTGAGATGTTGGTGTCAGAACAAGGTACCTTTTCTCTTTACAGATGTCAGCTTGCCTGCTCTATATTCCCACTATTTTTCTTCCCTGTTGAGCATGTTCCGTATGTTCTTATTCAGAAACATGCTCAATTGGTTGTCTGGGTTGCTTAGACAACAACTTGCTATTATTGAGCAAGCAACAATATTTTCAATACAGTAAAACATTCCGAGTTACCAAAACAAGCCAAACAACAAGATGGTGTTGGTGGGTGTAAGCAGGAAGTTACACTGTGCGCTGAGGCTAGTCACTAATTTACACAACTCAAACACTTGAACCAATCTCAACCGTGACCAATGGAGCATCACTAAACCCCTCCCAGGTTTGAAGTACACTCCCAGACACTCCTGTTTGTACTGAACGACATCAGAATCTATTACCCTTTTCATAAGGCTGCTGTGCATTCTGATCGTTCACTTCAAGATTGAGGAAAAACAACTGAGTCAGTAGACACTCAGTAACCGGTAAATGTGGAATGCTCAGATTCAATTGCTTACAGGGCCCTGAGTAATAAAAGTCCAGCACATGAGACTGAGGGGAATATGACTGAAATGTATAAAATCATGAGACATAAAGAGAGTAGACAGGAAAGAAATTTTCCTCTTGGTAGAGGGATCTATAACAAGGGTGCAGAATATTAAGGCAGGAGGTTTGGAGAGGAAGTAAGGACATTTTTTTCCATCCAGAGAGTGATGGGAATCTGGAACTCACTGCCTTTAGGGTGGTAGAGACAGAAACCCTCATGATATTTAGATGTGATGCCAAGATTATGGGCAAAATACTGGAAAATTGGAAGAGAACATTTAGATGCTTGTTCAGTGACCCAGACTCAATGGGTTAAAGGGTGTTTTTCTGTGCTGTCGACCTTTATGACCCTATAACTGAAGGAAGCATTTTGCATAAGGAAATCCTCCCAAGAGTATTTGTTCATCGGCCTTCTGCAGTGAACTTCACAGCAAAGAATTTTGCACTTTCAGCATCTTATAAATTCACCTTTGGTCACCCGGCCTGGTATTTCATGATTGATTTGATTCCCTACTGTCACGTGTACTTGAGTACAGTGAAAAGTTTTGTTTTGCTTGTAATACAGACAGATCATAACAGACAAAGATCTAGTGAGATTGAACAGAGCAAGGAATACAATGGCTGCAAAGAAGGTACAAAAATCAAGATCAACATTGGATCTGAAATTTGAGAGGTCCATTCAGAAGTCTAGAAACAGCGGGAGAAAGCTGTTATTGAACTTATTGTTATGTGTGTTTAAGCTTTTGTATCTTCTGCCTGGTGGAAGAGATTGGAAGAGATTATAACCGGGGTGGGAGGAGTTTTTAATGTTAGCTGCCTTTCCACGGCAACAAGAAGATGAGATGGAGTCAATGGATGGAAGGTTAGCTTGCTTAATTGACTAGGCTCTGTTCACAATTTTGTGGCTTCTTACGATCCTGGGTAGAGCAGTTGCCGTACCAAGCTATGATGCACCTAGATAGAATGCTTTCTATGGTGCACCTGTAAAAGTTTGAGAGGATCCTTATAGACATGCCAAATTTCCTAAGCCTCCTGAGGAAGAAGAGGTGTTGTTGTGCCTTTTTGACTGTTGCATCCATGTGGATAGTCCAGGACAGATTGTTGGCGATCATCACTCCTCGGAACTTGTTGCTCTTGGCCATCTCCACATCAGCTCCACTGGTGTAGATAGGGATGTACCCGCTTTCTTGCTTCCTGAAATCGATGATCAACTCTTCAGTTTTGCTGACATTAAGGGAGAGATTGTTATCTTTGCACCACGTCACCAAGGACTCTCTCTCCCTTATGCTGTTTCGTCATTGTTTGATATCCGGTCTACAACAATGGTGTCATCAG